TCGTCTTATGTTTTATAATTTAAGTAATGGAGAAAAAAAATGTGAACAAGATATTGAAAATGTTCATTCAGGTAAAAGAATATGAATAATAATAAAAAAAAAGAATATTTAAAAAATTATTTTCAGAAACAATTCGAGTTTTAATAATGGATAGTACAGGAAAATATGTGGTATCAGCTGGTGATCGACAAATTCGAGTATTTCATAATATCGCTGGTAAATGTTCTTTTATATATATATATATGTTTTTTTTTCTTCTAATATATTTTATTCAAAAATTTTATTTTAGGATTAAAAGGATTAATTGATGATTTGACAGAAAAAGCTCATACAGCAAAACAATTAACATTAAAAGAACGTATTAAAGAACAAATAAATGATGCACGGTTAGAAATTCTTTTTTTTTGTTTCATTTCAAATTGTTTTTGTTTTTTTTAGGTCAAAAATGAATAACATTCTAAATGGTGCTTCTTAGTCAATCGATTGTATTTGTTTTTTTATGTAACGTTGTTATTTCTACGTCAATGAAAAAAAAAACTATGTGTCCTTTTTTTTTTAATATATTATTTTTGGGTTGGGGCTTCTTTAATCCATCGTTTAAGCGTTTCTTTTGAGCCAACTTCATATAACAGTTGAACAACTCTTTCAACAGCTTCAATAAATTGTGGATTTTCACCTAAAGTAGCAAAGATTTGACTAATACTTAGAATTTGTTTTGCACCTGGTTTTGTTTTTGCAGCTAATTCACTTAATTTAAGTTCAACAGCTAATGCATCTTGTAATACAATCGGTTTATTTTGTTCATCATACCCACCTAAATATCGTATCCAAGCACCAACAGATAATGCACAAAAATGTGGATTATTTCCTCGTTTAAGTTGTTCAACAATAGTAGGTACAAGAAATTTTGGAAATTTCGATGCGCCATCCATACATACTCTTAATGCAGTATCTTTAATATGTGGATTTGAAAAACGTTCAATAAGTGTACGTTTATAGTTTTCAAGATCAATACCAGGTACTGGTGGTAATGTTGGTGTAACTTCAATATTCATTAATTGTTCAATATAAATTTCAATTTGTTTATCTAACATTATTTCATGAATATAAGTATAACCCATTAAATAACCAAGATAACACATGCTTGTATGTGATGCATTCAAAAGACGCATTTTCATACATTCATATGCTTCAACATGTTCGGTAAGAAGAACATTATATGGCGATGATGAAAGTAATTCAAGTGGAGGCCGTCCATTACAAAATGAATCTTCAATAACCCATTGAACAAAAGGTTCAGTTATTACAGGCCATCCATCAGCAATACCACAACGTGAACGAACATATTCACGATCAGCATCAGTTGTTCCAGGTGTAATTCGATCAACTAGAAATTAGAAAAAAAAACCAAACAAACAAAGAAAATTTTTCTTTTCGATAAATTCTTTGGTTCTTTTTTTGTCTTACCCATAGCACTTGGAAATGTTACTTGTGTTTCGATATACTCAGTTAATTGAGGATTATTTAATCCTTTAGCAAATTGTAAAATGCATCGTTTTGTAACTTCACCATTTTGTTGAACATTATCACATGACATTACCGTAAATGGTTTTTCATTAGCACGACGACGTGCATCTAATGCATGAACAATAAAACCAAATACTGTTTTAGGTTTATCAGAATTTTTTAAATCATGTTGAATATCAACATTATTCATATCTAAATCATAACCACTTTCGGTAATTGTCATTGAAACAATTTTTGTATCTGGATGTAGAAGGACAGCTAATGCATTTTCAGGTTCGTCAGGTGCAAAAATATAATCAATAAGAGAACTAATTATACGAACATTAACATCATTTTCATCAGCACCTTTTGTTACTAATGCATATAAACCATGTTGTGCTTTCATTACTGTACTCATTGGTTTATCAAATGAACGAACTCCAATACCAACAATACCCCAATCAGTTTGGTTATGTTCACTTGCTAATATATCCATATAATAAGCTAAATGTGAACGATGAAAATTTCCAACACTTAAATGAACAATACCATGTTTAAGTTGATTACGATCAAACGATGGTAAATGAGTACGAGCAGCTTCACATTTTGATTTATCAATAATAAGTTGATTTAAAATTGTATTAGTAGTAGTCATTTTGATCTGAAACAATAAAATAAGAAAGTATGATGATTTGTTATATACTTTTCTTTCCTATAAATGAGACGATATTTATAGGGGAGGTATGTCCCTCTTTTCTTTTCTTTGCTTGGATTTTGGACCCAATGGTCTATTGTGTCTATCTCTCGAGCTTATTTTTATTCTTGTGGTGCGAATGTAACATATGCAATAGAGAGAAAAAAAAAGAAATAAAGAACAGCCAAATAAACAGAAAAGACACACTCGAGATATGTGTGCGTTACCCAAAAAAAGTGCTTTGTGAAGTTCTTATCTGATACGATATCCAGATAATAAAAAGTCAATAGAGATCTCACCATGATACTACTTTCTTGAATTTTTGGAAATGTTTTTAATTTGCCTGCTTTCGAATGAAAAATCCTTCTTTTGTCTCGATATTTTGCTATTTGCGGTGATGAGATTATGTTTACACAATTATGATGCGTTCTATACTAAATATTATATTTGTTTCATAATCGATTTTAAGTAGGTTTCATTATTTTTAACTGATTGAGATTTCAAATCAACTAATTTTACATTGACAATTGTTATTGGTATCAGGTGAACAATAAAGAATGGTACTTCATATTTTTCGTTGATATTTAGCATTTTCATCACTTTGAACCAAACTTTTTAAATCGTCATGAAATTCTTCTGCATAAATTTACTTGTATTGTTCAACAAAATGTGTTTCTTCCATTTTTAAAACTAAGTATAACTTTAGCAAACTATTGAAAGCAATTTTCAATTGCTTTCTTTTTAATTTTTCAATTTTATTGCTATATAATTCGTTAAGTTTAAAGCATTGTTCCCATGGATTAGTCTTAATTTATAGTCTAAAGTACTATGTTACTAATAATGTCAATTGTTAAGAACTAAGCTGCAATCATGAACAACTTCTTGAAAAGATTAACGTATATGCAAGGAAGAAAAAGCAAGATTTTAGTACACAAAAGCACCAATAAAATATCGTGCCTCACTCATACTTCGAAGTTCAGACAACTCAAGTCTCACTTATTTCTTGAGTATATAACGATTTTGAAAGTTGCATAATATAGAATTTCACGACAATTTTAAAAAATTTGGTTTCACAGTGATGCAAACGCTGGAAGATATTGACAAAACGTGAAATGGTGAGGGTAATATCTATAGTGAAATTAAATATACTATATGTTATTTTGTTGTTAATAAATTTCTAAGAACTAACATTGGGAAATTAGTGTGACGTGAGCAACTGTTAGGGGAGTAAGTGTCATGAATTTGAGGGTTGGACACTCGATTCATCGGTGACAAAAATGCTACGTTGCAGCGGAAAAAATGACACTAACGTCAAAAACGGTCTACCACTAAACACTCCACACTACAAAAATGATGTGTAGTATTTATTTTATACGTATCTGTTCACTCATAGCCTCTAACTACAGGAAAAATGAAAATGAATCACAAAATATGAATAATACTATAAGAAAAATGTACAAATGAAAATGGAACAATTTCATAAGCATTAGAAATATGATGTTTACTATTAGTTGTATACGTATATATTGACTCATAGGTTCTAAGTGCAGGAATAATGAAAATCAATAAGAAAAATGTATAAGGAAAAATGAAGTAATTCGATAAGCATTAGAAAAATTATGTCGGGTTTTGCTTTTATACGAATATGTTCAGTCATAGCTTCTACGTGTGAGGATTGGTCAGCGATTCGATCGGTGTGAAAAATGTTAATTTTCACCGGAATTTTGACGTCCAAGTGAAAAATGCTTTTTGAAATAAAGTCACAACACCAAAAATTTATCGAACAGTTAAAACTGCAATTCATATAATACTAAAAAAAGCTATAGGAAAAATGATACCGACTAATGGAAATTGATTTCACCTATGCAAAAACTTTCAAGATAACTATTTCTTCATAAAGACACTTATTCATCGGAAAAATGAAAATTCATAGTAAAAATGAACATTGCTATTGGAAAAACGATATCGAAAAATGAAAAGATAATTCCTCTATAGGAAAAATTCTTCGATACTGTACTGCATCTCTATATGTAGATATAGATATAGTTATCCAGCGAAAAAATGAAAGTTAATACTAATAGTGCACATTCCAATAGGAATAATGAAATCGAAAAAATTATTTCTGTATAGGAAAAATTCTTAGGTATTTTACTGTATGTATATATCTGGCATTCCACTTCGTCTCTTTTTTCTCCTTTTCCTCTTTTCTTTTAAAATTCCTCTTTTTAGCGTCTTTTTTTCAGAAACATCCTCTTTTTCCTCTTCTCTCACGAAAAAGTAGCTTGTTGACAAAAACATCCATGAATATATTGACTAATGTTACCATATCATACGAAAAGATCATATAACACAAACTGATGTGCTGATCAGTCGAGGTGTCTAACTAAGGAGGCTAAATTATATGATTTTAGTGATCAACTTCAGTGATGTTATATATTCCTAATTGGGACCCAATTTTTATACCTTCCTAGTGGAGGTAAAATCATTCAGTTATATTTTCAATGTGAACTCATCATTCTCTCACAATCTTGGCAAGTTTTTCTGGTAAAGATCGACATGTAAAATGATAATATCGGCTTACTTGTCTTGATCATTTTTTGCAGTCCCAGGGAAGCTTGTGATGTGAATCTAACAATGGATAACTAACTCGTAGAGTAATGTAGGCGTCAAAATGAGAGGAAGTTTCCAGAGTAGCTAGATCTATCCTAGAATCCTGTCAGATTCGATAGAATTTCTTCGACAAGATAGCTTCTGATAGTATGATGCCGTAAGTTGAAGATTTCTGCTTATCGGATACCGATAAAAGTTTTCATATTGTATCAGGCAATATTTGATCCTTCAAAATTACTGGGTTGATTACAGATGCCGTGGTATGTTGCTAGATTACCTTACGCGATTGATTTAATGTCAAAATGAAGTAATCCCTCTCGTTCTGAATTTCTCCGTATACAATCACATTTTGGAGGATCGTATGTCTCTAAAACGTACACGGAGAAATAAAATCGTATACGACGAAATACAGAGTAAAACGAAAGCCGGTGACGAACTTTGTTTGTCCATAAACGATCGTATTTCTGCGCATACGATCACGGAGTTGTACGATCATAGTACTGGGCAATGTGAAACGCCCTATTTCTCCGATTACAAGCGTGTTCGCTTGACATGAGTTAATATTGACAACGGTTTGATAATACTTGAAAGAAATCGGATATGATGGAATGCGATAGCAACAAACAGGAACGCCCCACTGACCAAAAAGCAGAGGATCATACAAT